TCAGTTTGGTCCACGTGTTCGTCTTCACGAAAACGCGGTGTTATATTGACAACACCTCAAGAACGTAGCTCGTGGATGAGTCTAGTTTTACCTCGTGTCATCAAACAAAGTATTGACCTTGTCCTATTAAAGGGCCTATTGTTGTAGCTATAGTACAGTACACTATAAAATTACAACTGCTATATATTATTATCTGTTTAAGGTTCACGTCTATTCTGTAATGCAAATGTTCTTTAGTGAACAAATTGGTACTTCAAACACAAAGTTCCAAGTGAGATTTTTATCAATCAAAGAGTTCTTTGAACTTGAATTTGACTCGAAGCAAGAAATAGAATTATTTTGACTTTCCCAAGTTTTAATTCAAGTGAGGTTTCTCAAGTTGGAGTTTAAGAAACATCTTGAAATTTGTGTCTTGAAACTCATTACTCACAACTCACAAGAGTCAAACTTCTCTTCTTCAGTTTAGGGTCAAAGGCACTGGAGAAATTACACAAAAATCATTTCATTGATCGCTTTTGCAAAGACAACATAAAGACATCTACAACAACAAATAATTTTTATCATAATATTCTGTAAGACTACTTTAAACCCCTATCAACATCAACTGTTTTCTACTTTGATACCCCTCTTCATTCTTGATTATGTGGTCTGTAACCACAGGTTGTGTATAAGCTAATGATGAAATTGCTAGTGCAAACATCACTCATAACTTGCTTAAGACATTTCAACTTGTCTTGAGCCACTGCAAGCAAGCCATTACGTCGAAGCGAAGCCTTGAAGATAACGAATACTTGCTCGATGGGATTGAATTTCGGTGAGCAAGGCGAAGTATAAATTAATAAGACTCCTGCGTCTTCACACAAGGCTTCGATTGATCCGCGGTGATGGATAGTCGCATTATCCATCACCAGAACCAAATTTTGATTCGGATATGGATGCATAACAGGTAACTTGAACAACCATTCTATTGTCAGCTTCGTTGTTGAATATGAAGAAAGAGACATAAAACGACTTACTAAAACATGTTTCAAGAATGCTTCGAATTCGTTTCGACAGTAAGCATTGAGCTTGGCATTGACTGCTAATAAGCCCATCTCGCAAATCGCAGCCAAGACGCTGTAGTGAGAGCCGTGTCTCGACCGTTTCAACGCTTTCGGTTGTTTGCCTTTCTTGGATCGAAGGTGATTGCGTTGTACATCTGGTAATTTTAAACCAGTCTCATCTGAGCCAAAGTTGAGAAGAAACAATACAAATCAGGTTTAAATCTTCCAGAAGAGAGAAAACAAAGAAAAACTCACCTAAGAATACCAAGTACTCAGATGGGATATGAGCAATAGCCGCAGAGAATCTCGCTTGTAATACAGAAGATTGATTTGGATCCACTTTGGCAACCTTGTGAACGGTAAGAAAGAGACGCTCTTTGAGGTCGTTGGCGATGGTTTGTCGACAAGCCAGTAGATCAGTATGATTGTACATGGCTTCTTGAATCTCGTCAAGGAACAGACAGGGATCGTTATTGATGAGTTCAACCATGAACTCTCGATCTTCGTCAGAGTAGAGTGTTGGGCGGCCTCTTCGGTCATAAGTAGCCGGATTGCAAATCACCACGTGAGTATGAGTGTACAAGGCGTTCCATCGCACAAAGGACTTGTCCGAAATCGTGGTAAGGAGCTCTTCGTTGATTGATTGAGGTGATTGTCCAGATACGAGTTTGTGAATAGCGATGACTTTCAGCTGAGGACTGTACGCCACAAATCCCATGGCTGGGTAGACTCGATGAAGTGAAACAATGAGGTCGAAGTCGAATGGTAGATGGTGGAAGAGGGATGTGGTGGCAGGTGGATGACTGAAGCAGTCTGACGCGGCAGGCTGTTTAGCCTGCCCCGTTTGAAGGCTATGCTTATAAATTTCGTCTGTATTAAAAAAAAAAAAACCTCGAGATTGGCCAAGCGAATCTCGAATGACTGTATATATAATTTTAGATGAAACATGAATGAAAATTATTCAAATGGTTGGTGTAAAGTATTTCCTCCTGATTCATGTGTCTCTGATTGTCATATCATTTATGTCCATCTTTTCTTTCATTATCTCCGCTTGTCTTTTCTTGTTTTGCTAATGACATCAACATCATTTATATCTTCAATTTTGCTTCTTTTATGTTTGCCAACACTACTTACTTTATCAATCAAACACCCACATCTACCTTCTGTTAGAAGAACTTACAGCACATTATAGGTCACTGGAGGAGATGAACCTAGCTTTGCTTTGTGATGTTTGAATTGCATTTGAATTCAATGGCGATCAAGTGGAGATACCATGCTTTGCTGTGCAATCTTTATTTGATACCAGGTATCTGTTGGCTGTGGAAAGGAAAACAACCTGTGGTGATTTTGATTACGCCCTGAATATCCTATCTACATATGTACTGACTCTAACAAACAGAGAATTCTCAATACTCTTCCCAAGGGGTTATGAGAGTTTGGTCAAGCTAACAAAGAGGACTCCCTGAATCCTTTGCGCACCCACCCTGATCAACAAATTTCTCAAAGAATCTTGGCCCGATTACTGGGGATGGAGCCATAAAAAGCATGGAACCAAGGTATGCTGAAATATGCTAACAGATGGTCCTTCCAAGCCCCATAAAGGTTGGGTTGGGTTTTGTGTAGTATCAGGTATATGGATCTCTGTGGGGCAAGGCTGGAAATTGATCAAGTAAATCAGCGCATACAAATAATGAGAATACATATTCCTTTTGCATAAGATCAACTGCATGCTAGCTTTGGTTGAGCTGTGTGCTTCTGGGTACATATGATCCAAGGAGACACGTCTTTCCAAATATAGAATTGAGAATTTTGAGTGTTATCTGGATGCTGCGGACTTTGCAAAACTCGTGACCCGCATATATCCGTGTACATATGTATCTGTGTGTTGACAGTTGACCAAAGTTGTTGTACTTGACTGACTGTTGACCACTTCAAGATTTCTGAGGAAGAGAACATGGTTTTTAGTTTTTCAATTAATTCATCAGCTTCATCATCAGCTTCAAGTTCAAGACCATCCTTTCCAATTGTATCACCAAGAGATGCTGAAATCTTAAACGAGATCATCTTGCAAGCACCACCGGGTTCTAGTATCTTCAGTGCTCTCCTGGATCCATATCAGCGTGTTTTGGCACTTCATCAACTTGACCCACGTCTGGATGATCGGTTTTATTCACTTTTACTCAAACTCAGTCTTGTTTCCGGTACAGATTGGAGTGAAAAATGGTCTCGCGTTTGTGTAGATCAAGGCTTGTTTGAAGAAAGTGAACTACCAGAGGGATCATTCAGTTCAATCGCGCCTAGTCAACCCAATGGAACGGAGCATTCCGATCAAGAAGAAGAGGGCACCACTACCATCATCGCGCCTACTCGATCACCTCTCATTTCATCTCCCTCATTACGGAGAGGATCGCTTTTTCCAATTCAATCAACTCCCAATGTAATTGACCGGTTCCAACCACGACCATCAATTCAATCAACTCCCAACGTAATTGACCGGTTCCAATCCCGATCATCTCCGAGTTCTAAACTTCTAGATCCTCTTGACGCGCTTTCCGATCAATTTCGTTCAGAACATCTTCGAATTCGGACACTTCATCTATGGAGCCTTCGTACCCGCCGGTTCACACTCACTTTGACTGAAGTGGAACGTGCACATACCCTGCTTGTCTCTGGAAGGATGTGGAGAAGATGGCGTGCAAAAGTAGGTAAAAGGCGACGAGAAGTAAGGATGGTAGAAGGTGTAGCTCGAACTAGGTAAGGTGCATTTACGCGTCTTTCCTTCATCAATAGAAACTGATTTGTCTTCTATACACATACTTAATATGGAACTCAAGGATGAAATTTGCTACGCTTACAAAATGGCGTGAGGCAACAGAGGAAAGTCGACATAAACGGTGGAAACAGTATCTTGCCCAACTTGCTGCTGATCACCTCCAACATCAGCAGCAAAAATGGGTTGGTGAAGCAATAGCCGTAGGTCCCACTGCCTTATTCAGACGCGTGTTAATTTTAATACCTGACTAACTTAATTTCGAACGGATCTTTTCAGCTATGGTGGCTGAAAGCACGAGCCGCGCGAGCGGAACGTACTCGGGCTGATCTACTCAGACATCAAGCACTTACTCACTGGCTAGCTCGCGTCTCAAAACTTCGTCGTGCTAGCAACTTAGCCGATGCATTCCTGATAGATATCAAAACTAAAGCTGAGACAAGGCGGCAGATTGCACGATGG